CACAGTGGCTATCGGGTGTCCGTCTTGCTCCCGCAACTGCCGGACTGCCCAGCCAACATGGACGAAAGCGCTGTTGGGGAGACCTGCGCGCTCGAGGCGCCCAAGGAAGTCCGACAGGTGGTGCTGCCTCGGTTGCATGCATGACCGCTTCCGCTAGCACGTGGGGCGCCACCGGGCTGGACGTGGCCAACAGCTGTGGGGCCGGGTCCCACCAATCAGCCGCTCGGGGGTCGGCATGCCAGGCCTCGACAGCAGGGGAAGTAAGGTCGGCGCCGGCGGCATGCAGCAGCGGCACATACAACCAAGAGTTGGTAGCCTATTGTACGTGACCTGTGGGCGGGCCCCGTGACAGCCAGTACGCTCCCCTGCTCGCTGGGGCGAAGGCGGCATGATTTGTTCGGATGCCCCGAGGACCTCCGCATCATGACAGCCAGTCCAGCCACCCGGAGTGCAGTTCGGGCAGCGGCTGTGTCGGCACAATAATTGGCACAACAGCTCAGCGGTTCCTGAAGCTTGGACGCGGAACTGGGCGAGGCGGCCTACGTGCATGCAGCGTCTCGCGGCAATTTCTCTTACAGTCGCTGTGCGGGGTTAGCTAGCAGGAAAAGGTCGTCTGCGCCCCGAGTGTCAAGTCAACGCTCGCGGTACTCTCGCTTCACCCCTGCTTCACCCCTTCTGGTTCTCACAACAAGATGTCACGCCTGCCACGCAGCGCCCCGGAACGCTCAGCCCGCCGCCCTCCTCCGACGCCCAGCGTGCGCCACCACGGGCTGCCATGACGGCACAAGGGAGGCATCCCAAGGTCAGTGCTGTGTGCGCCTCGAGGCCTTGCGGCTGCCCGGTTGCGGCGAAAATGCAGCCGCGCCTTTTCCGACATGTACGGCAACCTGCAAGCTGACATCACAAAATGTGCACCGCCCCAGCAATGCCGGGCTCACCGAACAAAACTGGGGATGTTCTGGGTGCGGAAACTTGCTGAGGTGGGCAGTTGGAAAGGCTGGAGAAAGCCAGGACTCCCGCTGAGACTACACAGCCGCCGCCGCGGCAGCCGGAGAAGAGCCAGCGGCCGCCCTCGCGGACTAGCCTGGCGGAGCGGGAGCGTGCAGTCTCCCATTGCACCAGCACTGAACACAATCCGCTACTTCGCGAAGGTTCTTCGCGTATTTACCGACCGTTGCTCACCAACTGAAATACCCACAGTGTACCTGCCAGAAGCCCAAGCCGGGTCGGCACTCGCGACGGAGGGCAGCAGGGAGCAAGGGCCCAGGCGACAATCCGGAGCTCAGGCAAAAATCTGGGAGCGCGGCTGCCGTGAGAGCGCCAGCGGCCTGTCCGGAACCTCACGAAGCGGGGGCTGCACCGGTTGTGCGCGCCAACCAAAACGTCAAGAAAGGCTGAGGCCGGGCACTCGACTCCCGCCGCCGCGGCTGCCGCGGAGGTGCCGGCGGCTGTTGGGGGCTTTCAGGGTCGGCGGAGCTCCCGCCTGTGCAGGGGCTGTGCCAAGAAGGGCCTGGAACGGGCGACCCGGCAGAGCTTCGGAAGGGCGAGGAAGTCGGCGCCTGTTCCCGGCCAAAAAGGCTGCGGTCTGGGTGCCCTGATCCTTGCTGTGGAAGGGGTGGGTGCTGTGCGGGGCGTTTTGTCGGCCTGCGGTGGGTGCGGCGCCGGCGGGCAGGCTCGGGGTGGCCTCAGCCCCCGCGGGCGGGGTGTGGGCCTCGTCGAAGAGGCAAGGTGAGCGGCTGCGCGCCGGTGAGGGCGAGGGGGCGGCGGGAGAGCGTAGCCGAGGCCGCCACTCCTCCTGCTGGGGGGAGGAGTAGCTTGCAGTGCTTGGGCACCCGCCCGTTTCAGTTCGCACTGCAGCTGTCGAACTCGACCCCAGTCGCCAGAGTTCGAAAGTGGTTCTCCAGCACCAAAATGCGGGCCGGACGGACCCTTTTTTGGCATTTCATAAAAAATGGCTGCAAACACGCTTGGTGCAAAAGACTTCCGGGCAGACAAATCGTGACAATTTCCGGACCCAGAAGTGACCCGTGGAAAGCACCACGGAATCCGAATCTCTTCAGCAATGACCTCTCTAATTCCAGCGGACTGGCTGGTTCAAATTAGAGAGATTTGGCAGGCTGAACCCCACTTGCCGCAAGAGATTAGAGATGTCAGCGTTATTCTGGAGCCCCTCAGAGCAGACATCGAAATCGTGACAATTTCCGGAGCCAGAATTGGGTTCGTGGACATCAATAGACGACAAGACTACTGAAAAGATTGGAACAATCTCAAACGGCAAGTTGAACCAAAAGAAAATGCTTGGCACAAGCACCAGAAATAATGCTAGAAGCTCTTTTTTGGCTCAAAATCTGCAAGAGGAGACCAACTGCAGTATTCTCGGTGCCCTCAGAGTAACCGATTTGGGTTTGCGACCTATATTTCTGCAAGTAATAATAAGGGCGCATTGCGCCCAAAGAATTTGCTTTAAATTCACTTGTGTTGAAACTTATGCCGTGAAAACAGAAAAGAGAGCACGAAATCTGGAAATCTGCAGGAAATCATGTGGGAAACTTTGAGAAAGCAGAAAATCGCAGAACCTACAGATGCACAATAAATGGAAAACTTGAAGCCTGTAACCATGTTGAAACTTCCGTGTGAACCCACAAGTAGCCAGGAAAAAAAAATTCAAAACCGTGTAAAACTGTCGAAAACCTTCTCAAAGAGGGTGTGGATGAATGCAATCGGTGAAAAACTGCACGATCGACAGTGATCCACAAGGAACGAAACTCTATCCAACGCAACATGCACTGTCAGGTGGGTTATGGGCGCGGTCTTGCGTAAAGCGAAAAAGGAAACCGCTGCCTGTTTGCATCGTGAAAGATGGTTTGGATCACGGAAGCTGGAAGCAGTTTGTTGGTAAGCGTCTTCAGAACCTCAGAATGTCCGACTATTGTCAATTTTTTCTGCGGCGTCTTGTCAGTGTCATCCTTGTGCAAACACACGTGTTTTTACAAGGCGTCAACGTGTAAGGCATAAAGCTTTGACACACACTTGCATGGACGTGCTGGAACCCTTGTTCTTACTTCCTCGTCGCACTCCGTTTGGCTATGTAAACCGGAGGGTGGGCCCGCCCCCCTTTGACAAAGGGGGGCTTAAGCCCCCCTTTAAGCCCCCCTTGAAGCCCCCTTCGAGCCTCCTTTCCACGGCAGCAGCGCAGACGGACAGACTTACTACACCGCGGCGACCGCACAGCCGTTACAGCAACCTACCAGCAGCGCGGCCGCAGTGGCAGCGGGCAGCCAAAGAAGCTACAGCGCGGCAGGCGCACAACAAGTGCACCACACCAGCCACCAGCCTGCAAACCCTACCCCACGACGCTACATGGAGGCTACTACGCAGCGGAGTACAACCCTGACACAGACCCGGCATGAAAGCTCAACCCCGCCACAAATGACGGCGGAGCAGCTGGCGCACAGATTCAGGTTTCCTTTCTGCGATGGCCAAGCAAACCTTCAACACTGGCGGGGGGCCGCCGACGACAGAGTGCCACCAACCCGACACCCACCCACATGCGGGCAAGCCGCCAGCCACAGCCCCAGCTCGGGAGCCTCACACGAGATGAGGGACCGCGACGGACCAAGACCCACTACGACTACGACTGCGTCTTACCAGCAGCCGCCTCGAACCCCCAACCATCCTTTGGAAGCTTGGACCACCGTCCGACACCGGCACAAACTCAGACCCAAAACTACAGCTGCCACAGCAAACCTTCTGGACAGACTCACAACCACAAGGGGGTGGCAACGGCACCGCAGGGCAGGGGAAGGGCACGAGTCCTGGCGACCAAAAACAAAGCCCACGAGGCATAGAACAGCAGGAAGAAGGCCCACTCAAGCCCAACGCAAGACATGAGCCACAACCTCATGCTGTCATCAATGTCTGCGCCAAAAACTGACGCAAGGGTTGGGTTTGTACATAGGCCACTGCGGTGACTCCGGCGTTGCCTCTTGTGAGGCAGCCTGTGCGACACGGTGCGAACAGGCTCAACCGCATCTACAACAGAACTGAGGCACCCTGAGGGTGACTGGCCAAGAATGTCCCCGTTGCACGGCCCTGTTTCCGAGTCCGTAAAGCTTTTCAAATTCCAGTCTCGCGTAGAGGGACCCTACCGGTAAAACTGAAAGCTGAGTTACAGGCAGAACTTCGTCAGACTGAGAGCATTGGAAAAAAAGCTGAAACTGAAAAGGTTTCATGAAAAATAGAAATGAAAAATCTCGCAGAAAACTGAAAACTAAGAAATCTCGCCGCCCCCCAGAATTCGAAAGCTTTCAACAGTTGCGGCTCCGGACTTTGACACGCCAAGGCCCATCGAGATGAGTGCTCAACCCCAGTCGCCTAATTGACAAGCCATACACACACAGACATGACTGGGCACCCCCTATAGCCAGTCGAAGGAGATGTACAGTCTGTGAAGTGTGCGCAGCGAAACTCTGTACATGGTGAAAGGCCTGGAAAGCCGAAGTCCGTGTAGGGTCACCTACACTCCTGTGACACTTCAGAGTGAGCCGACAACAAGAAGCTACCACTGTCTACGGAAATCAAACCCAGTATAGCGAGGCTCAAGACTCAAGAGTTCACAGTTGTTTTGCTTCCTGTGGCAAGTTTCTAAGGTACACCAACTACCCGCCCTTCAAAGCCAACGGCGTGGAGGGCTGGTGGTTGGACAACCTCTTGAAGGCTGGCAGCGCAAGTGACGGTGGCCTTTCAGAAGCGGCTCGCAGATTGTAAGGCTGCTGAGCGCTACACATAACTCCTATTTCGAGGCCGTTCGAGGCTGCTTCGAGGCGGCTCGAAGCCTCGAAGACCGGGTTTTGAGGCCGCTCGAGGCCTATCCGAGGCCTTCCAGGGCTCTAAAACCCCTTTAGCTTACAAGATTACGAGGCCTCGGGGACTTGGGGCTTTATAAGACCAATTGAGGAGTCCCCACAAGGCCTCGGCCCGCAGCACAACGCTTTCTCTCCCTAGAACTTTAAGCCGCAGTTTGTTCCAAGTCTCCAAGCTGCTCTATAAGCCTCTAAGCATCTACTGCCCAGGCGCAGAGTTCCAAGTTTGTCGGCGACGACATAAAAATGACCAAATCGCAAAGCACCTGTGTATGTCTTGCCGGACGCGGTATTTGGTGTCACATGTGGCCGCACGTCTTCGAAGGCAAAGATGTTGAGGGCATCCTGACCACGCCGATGGAAGGCAGTTGATAGATGAAGATCAGCGTGCAGATGGACTCGTTCTGGTGACGCACGCTCCATGGTGGCCGAGACACCTTCTGCTGAAATCTGGGCAGCCAGGCGGCCAAGGTAGGCGACAAACCGGCCAAACAAGTTCTCGAGTACGCCGTGATCAAGCGCCATGAAGTCGCTGTGACTCGAGTTGTAGGTGAGCTGCACGGCTGAGAACTTCCACACCTTGCCTTGCGCAGGCGCTGGAGCGCCAGTATCTCTGGCTTCCACATTGGCAGCAGAGAAAGTGGCTCTGAAGGCTGCAATAGCATGATTGACTTGTCTTCGCTGTTGCTGCGTGAGAGCCAAGAGACACAGGTCCTCTGCCAATTTCCCTACCTTTGCACGACTGGCATTCTCCGGCAAGGTTGCAACACCAGCTGCGTGGGCAACCCGGTTCAAGGCCCTGACCTGAGCTTCACGTTCAGGGTTTCGGGCGCCACCCATTGCTGGAAAGTTGGACAAATCGCAGTCTCGCCCCTTCTCCTGTGCTCTGGAAACGCGGCAGCACTTGCAGCAGGCACAGAACACAGTGCGAACATATAGACACACATGCACACGGACCAGGCGCGCGACTCTCTTTGTTCACAACATACAGCTACAGCCACTTTACTCAGCAGTCGAGTAACTATGTTTGAGAGTTCGCATCCGCTAGAGCACTCAACACTATGTCGGTCTCATTCTTTTTGACTTGGTCGAACGACGGTAAAGCAAAAGTCAAGCTGCACCGAGTTCGAAGCAATGTCGCCTGCCCATAACAAAACCCCGTACCACACCATACCAAGCACCGTAGGTAAAAGTGGCAAGGAACAAAACGACACAGGCGACACAGCCTACGACCCAGAAGAACTGGTGAAAAATTTCGCTTTAACATGCCTGCTGCGACGACATGTTCAGAGCTTTTCTGCTGAGCAAAGCGGCTGTATATGCAACAGGATTCCAAGTGTTCGAAAGTGCGATAGCTTCGTTGTAAACACCATTGAGTAAACACAATCACCTGCTGTGAATCCGTCTCCATGCGCAGAGCTACAGCTACAGTGTCGGCTCAGCTAGCGGGCATCTCCTGCTCAGCATTTCGAGTTTTAGAGGTGAACCGCGAGCTATACCCCGGCTGGCCACCTCCTTGTCCTGCTGATCTTCCTTGCTGGCCACCTCCTTGTCCTGCTGATCTTCCTTGCACGCGGTATCGGCAACCACACAGTTAACAACATGTAATCACAGGCAAAAGGTGGACCGCGAGCTATCCCGCTGCCCACCTTCTTGTCCTCCTGATCTTCCTTGTGCTCAGTATCCTAGCGGGAGCGCAACCGCAGCTAGCAACGTGCAAGCACAAGCAGACAGCGGACAAGCAGCAGCTAGGCTAGACAAATCTCGCAGTCTACCAAACCAGCCTTTGAGTCAGTCTTGGCACTTGCGGAGGTGGAGGCTGCCTGCACCGCGATGGATCGCGCAGGATGCTCTCCTTATGAGCGACCGAAAGTTAAGCGTTCCTTTGCATCGAGAAGCAGCTGCAGGTCGCCAGAGGACAGGTGTTTGGCTGCCTGACCAACGACGCAAGAAACGCACAAGCTGAAATTTAAAAGCCATGACTCATGACAGCTACGAAGGGCACGACTGCACCTTCAGAAGCCGGTTCCGCTTCTTGATAGCGTTCTTCTCATCCTTGGAGGCTTCCTTCACCGCTTTCTTGGCGTCCGCCTTCTTCTTCTTCAACTCCTCCAGCTGCTCGCAGAGGAGCGCCTGACCGGGCAAGCAACTCGGGAGCCCAAACCCAACTCCTGCGTCACGAGCCTGAACCCCAGTCTTCGCGGCGGTCTTCGCCTTTGCACGCGCCTTCCCTTTGGGTTTGGGAGCCATTGGCCTGAGCGGCTGGCGCACAACGCTGTAAAGCGCAAGACAAAGCACAGCACACGCACAAGAGGAGACACGGGCACACACACACACACACACGCAAACACACACACACACACACACCTGTCTGTCTTTCCACAACGCACTGAAGTCTGCACACGAAGCTTGAGCCCGACATCCAATGCATCGCCACAAGCACCACACCACAGCAAAGCTGTGAGAAACGCCACACGTCAAATGACCGTCACATGCGTCATGTAGAATTTGGCACACATACGGACCCACGCTAGACTCCGCTAGACTGCTAGACATGCGTCGGCAAGCAACTGGTGTCTCCAACACACCAAGGCATGCCCAACACGGTTACACCATTGAACATTCCTACCTATCTGACCTATCTAAATTAGCCTAACGGTTGCACGAGCGTTATTTTCTGGTATCATGGAAGGCCCCACCCCGGCCGCGTATTCGACCCCCGCCGGGCTTAGACTGAGACAAATATGTGCTTCCACGCTCGTCTAAACACACTGGAGATTGCCCAGCACGGTTCCACAGTTTTCCAACTATCTATACTTATAGCCTAGTAGCACGAGCGTTCTTTTCTGGTATCATCGAAGGCCCCACCCCGGCCGCGTATTCGACCGCCGCCGGGCTAAGACTGAAACAAATATTGGCCTTTCCACGCACGTCTACGCATGCCTGCCACAGCTACACGCGCAGCCAAACACCGACACAAACGCACACGGCCCAAGGCCCGGCCCCGAGCTGCACACGGAAAAACTCACGTCTCACTACCACACACACGTTTAGCCAAGCTGCTGAGCAAGCCGAGTCTGCTCTACCTAAGCTCTACCACTCAACACAAGATCGCACGGGATACTGCACTCTATTTTGTGATCCCATGGCAGTGTCCGTTGTTCACGGGCCCTTTTTTGGGTCCAAAAACCGCAGCCACTTCCAGCTTCAAGCTGGTGGGCCTCCACAGTTGGTAGAGTTGCGTGCCACGCCCAAGGGAGCAGCTCCTCCTGCTTCAGAAAATTATTCTACAAGCTGCCAACTACAATATCTAGTCAAGCGCGCGGATAGGCTCTGCTCTGAAACTTGCAGGCAGTGTCCTGCGTCTGGACGCTGCTGGAGGAGGAAGAGAATGGACCGACGACGTTGGAGCCGAGGATGTCATTGCGGTGCCCCTGCCTCTGCCCCTGCCAGCGGCGGCTCGGCTTTGCTGTCGCTTGTAGGCTGGCGCCCACAGCACATATGACATGATGTCCAGACTGCGGCGCTTGGGAAACATCACGGTTGCATCTTCTTTAGCTAGCAGGTGGTCCATCGCCGAGGTCCAGTGCGTCTTGACCCGTAGCTTGCAAAATCCTTTGCGAGAGGTGCTCCTGACGTGCCAGGAGGCCATCGCGGAGAAAGGCATGGCTCCAATCAGCTTGCAGAGCGGCCGTAATGGTTTCAAAAACCACACGTAGCCACCGGCAGGTATCCATGGAGCCTTCTGGGGCCTGCGCCTTAGAACAACGCAATTTCTCCCGCAGAGCTGCTTTGAAAGGAGCGAACACATGCGTGTCGCAAGGCTGGAGAAATCGTGTCATTCGGGGTGGAATATAGAGCAGTCGTATTCCCCGCTGGCGTGCTTGCATATAGATTGACTTGTCAATGTGGCATTGAGCACAATCCAGAACCAGGATCACATATCGCGTTTTTAACAGATCGCCCAAGCACCGCGCTAGCAGTGAAATAAGCTGCCTCTTGGTAGCATGGCTGTTCCAGGCGGATTTCTGGCGCCACATGTGTACATTCGATGAGCAATGCGGGGAAGCTTTCTGCAACACCTGCTTGGTGAACTTGTGCTCATTGCCAAGAAGAACTTGAGGCAGACGTGGCTGCACAGCTACCTCATGTGTCACAGAAGCTAGAAGCGAAACGTGTCCGCGCACATCGGCTAATCCAGCATGGTCAGCAGGCGGACAGGAGCCAGCTGGCAACTTTCGCAGCACGGTTCCCCGCAGACCAACCATGTGATAAGCCAAAGCAGTTCCATCCATGTTGACAAGGAGGGGTAGGCGTCCAGGTGGCGCTTTTTTAATTGCATAGTTTGTCCACCTGCAGAAACTTGTGACCTGACGGGGACAAGCATTTGTCATTGACACAGCTGCCTAGCAGCAAACTATGTTTGCCTGTGCCAAAGTGAACCTGTCTGCCGTCCCCAAAATCGGGACCGTCTGGCGGCCCCAGAAATGGAGCCTGCAGACGGCCCCGAAAACGGGGCCGCCTGGCGGTCCACAAATCAGGCCCCTGCCCTCGCAATACTTTACTGAACTTTCCCCGCTCAAGCAGAACTGCGAAGCGGCCACTCGTTTTTGGGTGCGCTGGGCGGCGCCATTTCTGGGGCCGTCAGACGGCCCCGGTTTTGGGGCCGCTGGATGGCACCATTTTTGGGGCCGCTCGCGCTAGTGAAATCAAGCCTTTCCAATGAAATTGAAAGAGAACCTGGCCTCTAACAAACTTGTTTTGCAAGCGTATCATTGCCACGCAACTTCAGCCGCACTCTGCAACCCCACGCAGCCCCTAGTTGGAAGTCCACAACAGTCAAACAAGCCACGAACTTCTGACACGTATCGCTATTACTCGACTACAGACTGGTGACACATCAGCGCAAGACCCAGGCCTTCTGTCTAGCTTCTGCCACCGAGACAGATTTTCAATATCCCGAGTCTTGCTCCCCAGCGAGCCCGGAAACGGGCAAGCCACTTGCGCGTCCGTCGCTGCGGTGACATCTGTGAGAATGGTCTGGACTTGCTCGGCAGTCAACTCCACCGCGCTGCATCGCGGCTTGCCCAGCCCTCGTACATAATCCGACGTCACGTCTGCTTGCCCAGAAATCCTGTGTATCAAAACACGCTGGGAGGGGAAAATCTGCTTCTGTTTTTGTCCTTGCTGACAGCCTCCGTCTCTTCTGGTGCAAGGCACGAATTTGTCGCTGAGCTCTTTCACTTGTACCTCAGCCTCTCTCTGTTGAGATGTCAGGCGAGAGTCCACCATGGCGGCTGGCAGGCCTCGGGGGCGTAAAAGAGGTCCAGGAGGCCGCAACGCACACACACACACAGACCACAAGCGCGCACGAATGGCTGAGAGACTTTTGGACGCCTCATGTCCAGCGCAAGAAAGCACATCCATTCCCACACTGTCCACTGCCATGACGCACGCTCTGCAAAACTGGACCATACAAGATGCACAAGATGACAATTTGAAAAGCTTTGCAGACCCGGAGACAGGGCCGTGCAACGGAACCAATCCAATGCCGCTTGCGCTGATCAGTGCGGGCTGCGTGGGCCAGAGGCGAACCCAAGTACATGTTTGCCGGCTTCACATAGACTGCTTCGTCAAGTTAGCAGCCGTACATTGTCCCGGTTGCAAAGCCAATGACACTCAAATCAAAAGTCGCCACTGCGCGTGCACAGAACGAGTAGACACAGCAGTGCACATTGGTCGCGGACTTTGCACCCTTCACTATCTTTGAACGGCGGTCTTGCAAGACGGTGCCGCTCAGGAACAGAGCGTCTCCAACTCCGTCCAAAATGACACCGGCATGAATCCTGCGGTCAACTCTACCAGGTCCATCTGCTCAGACTCCTCCACAGCGACCTTTAAGCACTCTGGAAAAACCAAGTTGCTTGTGACACGCTGCAATGTGTGGACTGCAAGCATGGATTACTCCGTCGGACTCCGCCCATAATTGCCAAAATTTGGGCGTCGAAACACAAATCATGGCATTCTACAGGCCTCGATCACCGGAAACGACATCATGGGCAGGGTTACTCGTCCATCGCGCGCTTTTCTTCATCCATCAACTACCTTCTCAGGCCTTGCGGAGCTCCTCAAAGTATAAACCGCCAAGTCTCCGGAGGCTGCGACCTCGAGCTCGAGTCGAAGCCTTCAACGGCCTCGAAACAGCAGATGTGGATGGCGAGGCTGGAGCTGGTGGTTGGACAACCTTCCTACAAGGCGTACTTGGCAGCACAAGTGACGAAGGGCCGAGCGCTACCTGCCGTGATGAAGCACTCCAGGACGCCACTGTGGTGACGCTTCTTGGGGGCCTGCCAAATCTGCCAGCCAGAGACACTTGAACCGGATTACCAGCTGTTGTTGCAGCCTTGCCAAAAGTAGAAAGTTTGCAGAGAATTTTCATCTCTTGGCTGTTTCGCAGCAACAGCAAGTCAATCATGCCATTGAGTCTGCAGCCACTCTGCTACCTTCCAGCTCTGCGCAAGACAAGATGTGATGTTCTCAGCCGTGCAGCACACCTACAACTCGAATCGCAGCGACTTCATGAGTGAGAACGAAGGTGGCTTGACTTTCGAAAGTCTTCGTCTTTGGAGCCTTCGCAGCTTCGATGCGTCCCCCCTTCGATTCCCTCCTTCGCTGAAGTCTCGGATGCAGCCTACAGAAGAGCGACCGGAGCCATGGCAAAGCAGTGACGCACACGACTTCATATTGTGCCTCATAAGACCACTTGCTGCGCCTTTTTCGCTGCGTAGGCGGACTAAAGTGGCGTTGCTGCGAAGGGCTGAATTGAATTGGTTGTCTCATATCGACGCCATGGTGAGGTGCAAGCAAAAAGCCGGCTGCCAACTTGCAAATGGCGTGCCACGTGGTAGTCCACCGAGACTCATAACGGCTCTTCATGAAACCAGCGCCAGCAGGAGAGGGATGGATGCATGGAGAAGCGTAGTAGGCAGTCGTAGCATGGGACCCGGAACTAGCAGTAGTAGTTTCGTAGCGGCAGCAAGGTAGCAGTAGCAGTAGCAGGAGCAGCAGCAGGAGCAGGAGCAGGAGCAGCAGCAGTAGGAGTAGCAGCAGTAGCAGTCTCAGTAACAGTAGAAGCACAAGAAGAAGTGGTAGTGGTAGCAGTAGTAGTAGTAGTAGTAGTAGTAGTAGTGGTAGTAGTAGTAGTAGTAGTACTCACTCACTCACTCACTCACTCACTCACTCACTCACTC